GATGGCGGCCGCCCCCCCCCAGCCCCTCTCCTCAGGCATCGCTCGCCCGCGGGGCGCCGCTGGAAACCCGCTTCGGCGGAGGGTCCGCGGGGATCGGCCTGGCTCCCTCAGGGGCAGGGAGGGAGGGAGGGAGGGAGGGCGGCCCAGCCTGGGCCCGACCCTGCCGGGCCTCCCAGGAGAGTGAGCCGGGAGCTCATGTCCCCCATGGTCTTGTAGGAGATATAGAGCCTTTTTGCAGAAATTCATGATGTTCCCGCGTTAGGAGTGTGATCTGGTGAAAGCGTAGCTTCTGGTGTTTTGGTGGCAGTGGTGATTTCATAGAGTCGTTTAGGTTAGAAGGGACCTTCAAGACCATGGAGTCCAACCATCAGCCTGACGCTGCCATGTCCAGCACTAAGCCGTGTCCCTCAGCACCATGTCTGCCTGTCTTCTAGATACCTCCAGGAATAGTGATTCTACTTCTCTGGGCAGCCTGTTCCAATGCCTGGCAACCCTTTGGGTGAAGATATTTTTTCCTACTATCTGATCTAAACCTCCCTTGGTGCAACTTGAGGCCATCTCCTCTCCTATTTTCTAGACGGGGGGAGCCTGTTGTTGTCAGGGTTGTCTGTCCTGAGCCCGCACTCCTCCCTGTCCTGGTTGCTGGTGTGTCTCTCCTGTGCAGTTCCCTGCAGTGAGCTCCCCCGACCCAGAGAGATGGTCTGCATCAATGTGACCACACCATGGCTTGGTGAACATCTCCTTTGAGGCAGCACCAGCTTTGTCATGCACATTTTGGGTCCCTGCCTGGTGGTGGGTCACAGAGCTGCTCTGGTGGGTGAAGATTGGGCCAAAGACAAAGGTTATGTTTAGTGGGAAATGGGTTGTCGGAGCCTGCTCACAGTGCAGCTCTGCAGACAGGCAGAGCATTGTAATGGGGAGTGGTGGAATAAGGAGAAAGGGGTTCATGTTTCCACTACTAGAAGGTTGGCATTGAACTGCGCTCCAAAGCAGAACGTGGAGAGAGGGGTTTTGAGAGGTGCTCTCCAGAATGAAGGCACGGTGAAAGGATCTAAGAAATAAAGTAGAAAAAGGGTAGGGGGGGGAACCAAATGCCTTCACTGGCCAAAATGAAACTGCAGCCTGAGAGCCATCGGCTTTGGTTACGAAGGGACCACAGGGTCCCTCACTCTGTAGGGAACAAGTGTTATGAGGAGAGGCTGAGGGAGCTGGGGTTGTTCAGCCTGGAGAAGAGGAGGCTGAGGAGAGACCTTACCGCTCTCTACAACTGCCTGAAAGGAGGGTGTAGCCAGGTGGGGGTCGGTCTCTTCTCCCAAGTCACAGGTGACAGGACAAGAGGAAATGGCCTCAAGTTGTGCCAGGGGTGGTTCAGATTAGATATTAGGAAAAATTTTTACACTGAAAGGGCTATTAAGCATTGGAATGGGCTGCCCAGGGAAGCGGTTGAGGCACCATCCCTGGAGGTGTTCAAAAGATGGGTTGACATAGTGCTTAGTGACATGGTTTAGTGATGGTGGGGTTTGTTTTTTTTTTTATCAGAGTTAGGTTGATGGTTGGACTAGATGATCTTAAAGGTCCCCTCCAACCTAGACAATTCCATGATTCTGTGATGGTCCCACATGTCCTCTGATGCCAGTGGCCTAGGTGAGACCAGGGCTGTTGGACATCTGCGGGGATGGGGCAGGCTGGGAGGGAGGTGATGCAGCTGCAGCCGTGCCAGAGGCCACACACCAAAGCCTTTTGAGGAGGGAAGGTGGTGGTGGTGGGACTGACCTGCTGGGGGGTGAGTTCTTCCAGGGAGGGTCTGACCCTGTTCCTTGCTTCCAGTACTCCTTCCAGGAAAATGGCTGGGGGACATCCCTTGCTGAGAGACTGGTCAGGTAAGAACTTAAATTTCAAAAGTAATTTCTAGCATGCGAGAAGGCGTGCAGCTTTTCTAAAAGAAAGCCAGCACAAGTTAATATTTAATGCATTTTTGTTTGTTAACGTTTAATTATTTATTGAAGTGGAACTGCCGTAGTGATAACCTGCCCAACACTGGGGGAAAATCTCAGTGGGTGTTTCTTTCCACTTAAAGCCTGAGTGCAAGGAAAAGAGTCCTTAGTGATTGTCAAGATTCCTGTTGTTCTGGTTTCATAGTCTAAGTGAAACACTTAATAAATACAGGTAAATACTACACATGCAACGTGTGCGTGCACCTTCAAAACAAAGTTGCAATCCCACTGAAACCTCCTGTGACCCCTCGGTGTTCCTGAGAGGGACGGAGGCAGGTGTCCTCACAGAGTCATTCAGAACTTCCCAAGTTTTGTTCCGGTGGGCAGAGGAGAGATTGTCTTTTTGATACGTGTCTCTGTTTCAGAAAATGTGAAGCCTGGGCCCGACCCTGCCGGGCCTCCCAGGAGAGTGAGCCGGGAGCTCATGTCCCCCATGGTCTTGTAGGAGATATAGAGCCTTTTTGCAGAAATTCATGATGTTCCCGCGTTAGGAGTGTGATCTGGTGAAAGCGTAGCTTCTGGTGTTTTGGTGGCAGTGGTGATTTCATAGAGTCGTTTAGGTTAGAAGGGACCTTCAAGACCATGGAGTCCAACCATCAGCCTGACGCTGCCATGTCCAGCACTAAGCCGTGTCCCTCAGCACCATGTCTGCCTGTCTTCTAGATACCTCCAGGAATAGTGATTCTACTTCTCTGGGCAGCCTGTTCCAATGCCTGGCAACCCTTTGGGTGAAGATATTTTTTCCTACTATCTGATCTAAACCTCCCTTGGTGCAACTTGAGGCCATCTCCTCTCCTATTTTCTAGACGGGGGGAGCCTGTTGTTGTCAGGGTTGTCTGTCCTGAGCCCGCACTCCTCCCTGTCCTGGTTGCTGGTGTGTCTCTCCTGTGCAGTTCCCTGCAGTGAGCTCCCCCGACCCAGAGAGATGGTCTGCATCAATGTGACCACACCATGGCTTGGTGAACATCTCCTTTGAGGCAGCACCAGCTTTGTCATGCACATTTTGGGTCCCTGCCTGGTGGTGGGTCACAGAGCTGCTCTGGTGGGTGAAGATTGGGCCAAAGACAAAGGTTATGTTTAGTGGGAAATGGGTTGTCGGAGCCTGCTCACAGTGCAGCTCTGCAGACAGGCAGAGCATTGTAATGGGGAGTGGTGGAATAAGGAGAAAGGGGTTCATGTTTCCACTACTAGAAGGTTGGCATTGAACTGCGCTCCAAAGCAGAACGTGGAGAGAGGGGTTTTGAGAGGTGCTCTCCAGAATGAAGGCACGGTGAAAGGATCTAAGAAATAAAGTAGAAAAAGGGTAGGGGGGGGAACCAAATGCCTTCACTGGCCAAAATGAAACTGCAGCCTGAGAGCCATCGGCTTTGGTTACGAAGGGACCACAGGGTCCCTCACTCTGTAGGGAACAAGTGTTATGAGGAGAGGCTGAGGGAGCTGGGGTTGTTCAGCCTGGAGAAGAGGAGGCTGAGGAGAGACCTTACCGCTCTCTACAACTGCCTGAAAGGAGGGTGTAGCCAGGTGGGGGTCGGTCTCTTCTCCCAAGTCACAGGTGACAGGACAAGAGGAAATGGCCTCAAGTTGTGCCAGGGGTGGTTCAGATTAGATATTAGGAAAAATTTTTACACTGAAAGGGCTATTAAGCATTGGAATGGGCTGCCCAGGGAAGCGGTTGAGGCACCATCCCTGGAGGTGTTCAAAAGATGGGTTGACATAGTGCTTAGTGACATGGTTTAGTGATGGTGGGGTTTGTTTTTTTTTTTATCAGAGTTAGGTTGATGGTTGGACTAGATGATCTTAAAGGTCCCCTCCAACCTAGACAATTCCATGATTCTGTGATGGTCCCACATGTCCTCTGATGCCAGTGGCCTAGGTGAGACCAGGGCTGTTGGACATCTGCGGGGATGGGGCAGGCTGGGAGGGAGGTGATGCAGCTGCAGCCGTGCCAGAGGCCACACACCAAAGCCTTTTGAGGAGGGAAGGTGGTGGTGGTGGGACTGACCTGCTGGGGGGTGAGTTCTTCCAGGGAGGGTCTGACCCTGTTCCTTGCTTCCAGTACTCCTTCCAGGAAAATGGCTGGGGGACATCCCTTGCTGAGAGACTGGTCAGGTAAGAACTTAAATTTCAAAAGTAATTTCTAGCATGCGAGAAGGCGTGCAGCTTTTCTAAAAGAAAGCCAGCACAAGTTAATATTTAATGCATTTTTGTTTGTTAACGTTTAATTATTTATTGAAGTGGAACTGCCGTAGTGATAACCTGCCCAACACTGGGGGAAAATCTCAGTGGGTGTTTCTTTCCACTTAAAGCCTGAGTGCAAGGAAAAGAGTCCTTAGTGATTGTCAAGATTCCTGTTGTTCTGGTTTCATAGTCTAAGTGAAACACTTAATAAATACAGGTAAATACTACACATGCAACGTGTGCGTGCACCTTCAAAACAAAGTTGCAATCCCACTGAAACCTCCTGTGACCCCTCGGTGTTCCTGAGAGGGACGGAGGCAGGTGTCCTCACAGAGTCATTCAGAACTTCCCAAGTTTTGTTCCGGTGGGCAGAGGAGAGATTGTCTTTTTGATACGTGTCTCTGTTTCAGAAAATGTGATGTTGTGAACCGCGGGCTCTCGGGGTACAACACCAGGTGGGCTAAACTGATCCTCCCCAGGCTGATCAGTAGAAGTACCGGTGCTGAGAGCACTGTGGCAGTTACTATTTTCTTCGGAGCCAATGACAGTGCTTTGAGAGGTACAGTAGCTTGCTTTTTTCTTTTCCTTTTTCTTTTTTTCTGTGACCTGTTCTCTTAAGACAATTTTAGAGTTTTGCAGAAAAGGCAGAGCATTACACAGACTTTTCCTGCCAATTCTCTATGAAGCAGCTGCCCTTTTTTCTGTGGATCATTTTCAATAGTCTTATTTGTGTTTAAACCATGCGGTGTCTTCTATTTCTCTCCCTCTCACCAAGTTTAATATTAAAAGTAAATTTCAAGGTGCTCAAGAATTAGTTGTGTATCCATCACCTAAAATTGGAGTTGGGCTGATTTTCCTGCCTTTAAGGCAGTCTGATGAGTTTTGGCGGATGGGTTGAGGAAATCAGGGAAGGTAGCATTTGGATTCTCTTTAAGATAAGCACAGCAGCACGCAGAGGTACTCTAAACAAAAATATAACCTCAGTGCATGAAGGACTCTGTATGTCCATGGGAATTTTGAAATATTTCTCTGCATCCAAGAGAGCAAAAAATGTTAGCTTTTGGTTCAGGTGAAGTTTGAGGTAGTTACATGATCTAATACTAAGATACGGAGTTGCAGGACAGCATCTTTTTTTAAAAAAAAAAAAAAGGTGGCTTTTTTTTTTCCCCCCCTTGTCCTTCATTTGTGTTAGCTGGAAGTGCTGTGTTTAAACTCTTGATTTGTCTGCTTTGGGTGTTGGGGAACAGCATTTCCCCACGACACCTCCTGACTCAATGACTGAGGTGAACTGCTCGCTGAAAGCGAGTGCCCAAGTTCATACGCTGTGTTAAAAGCACATAATGTTGTGTAATAACTTGTCAGCAGTTTAACGTCGCTCGTGTCTGTGCTCTGGCCCCTGCCAGATCTGAACCCAAAGCAACACGTCCCGTTGGAGGAATATGCCGAGAACTTGAAGAGCATGGTCCAGTATCTGAAGTCCGTGGACGTTACTGAGGACAGGATTATTTTGATAACGCCGCCACCTCTTCAGGAATCAGCTTGGGAGAAGGAGTGTGTTGCCAAAGGTAAAAGGATGGTGTGGATGGGCAGAATTTCTGCATTTTACGGGCAGAGTGTAAGTTGCTGACCCTGGGCTTCATGCTCGTGCCAGACTGCAGTCAAGGTCCTTGAGTTGATGGAAAAGGGCTGCCAGCCCTTCTGCTAAACAGCTTTTGGGTAAGCTCATGGAGCAACTACCAACTAATTAGTAACATCCTTTTGAAAGCGTGGATCGATCTGTTCGTGCGTGGAGCTGAGAGAGGTGGCTGCTGGTTGAGAACACGGGTTTTCCTGAGATGTCCTAGGCAGACTATGTCATGTCCTAGCAGCTTCCAAAATAACATGAGTAATGGGACAAATTTTGCCATTGTGTGCCTTAGAATATTTTAGAATAGTCACAGCATATCTCACATCTATTTGGATAAGTAGTAATATCCTATCCAGGTTTATTTTAAATTTAAAAAACCAAAACAAAACAACAGAGAATATCATATTCTAAGGATGCTAATAAAAGCACCTGAAAAAGAAGCAGAAGGTGATTAGATGATTTCTCATTATATGTTGTTCAAGCTAATTCTGAAAATCCAGGGGTAACAGCACTGTTCACTTCATGTTTCTCAGCTGGTGGAAGTTGCCATAATCCCAGGGTCTCCAGCAGTGACAGTTTATCCCTCCTCAGAGCGTGTCCTCTCTTCCTTTTGGACACCTTGTCCAGCTCTCGTGCATTTTTAAAAGACTTTTGGGTTAGATTCGGGTAAATACAGAGCTCTCAGATTAGGTTTTGCAGGTTTTTCTCTAATTTAGGTGGTATTAGGGTCCTGAGTGGTGTACTCAGTCAAAGCTGTAGTGTTTTGAAGATGACCTCGTGTTTAAACTGCCCAGAAGGTGAGCACATGATGAACGCTGCTTATCTGGCTGCTAACTATCAAGTGGCAGTTTTAAAATGTTTTTGATTCATTTTTGCCTTAAAGCTGTCCTTTTTGTGGGTGGGGGGAGAGAGGAAACTTGCATTTACGGTGTTGATCTGTCCAACAGCGGCTTAGGGATGCAACGAGAGATGGGGAGGTCTCAGACCGTGGACCACAAGTGAAGGCCTTGTGGGCACAGTGAGCAGCAGCTCTGTGTGTCAGATCAGCTGCCCTCAGCCAGTACCAGGAGAAACGTTCTGCTCGTTTCTGGTTTTGTCAGGTAGATACCAGGGTGAAGGAGACCCGTGACACACGGGGATGATGGAGTTCACAGGAAAAGAGGCAGGAAGAGAAACTCAGCTTCCAAGTGAGAGGGCTGTGGGAGACACCAGTTTGTAGTTGGTTGGATCTGCTGGTTTAACTCCCTGGTGCCCATCACGGGCACCACAGAAGACTGAACTCAAGCTGTGTCAGTCACCACTGCTGAATGTTTTGTTTTGGATTGCTAGGTGACAGATTGAATCGCCGCAATGCCACCACTGGGGAGTATGCCCAGGCCTGTGTCCGGGTGGCGAGGGACTGTGGAACGGATGTGGTCGACCTCTGGACCCTGATGCAAAAAGATCAGGTATGATGTCACGGGGGAGACTTGTGAAACTGCTGCAAAAGGTGTAATTCAGCACAGAGTAACCAGTAGTGCTGCCTTAGCACTGCAATGATACAAAATGTACCCACACCCCGTTTTGGGAGAGGGGAAAAAAAAACCAATCTGGAACCCTTTGTACAAATTGTGTTAATTGGTGGCTCTGCCCTCCAGAAAAAAAACCACAATCCAGAACCCTTTGTACAAACAAATTGTGTTAATTGGTGGCTCTGCCCTCCCCTGCAGGATTTCTCCTCCTATTTGTCCGACGGGCTGCATTTGTCACCAAAAGGCAACAGCTTCCTGGCAGCGCAGCTTTGGTCCCGCCTGGATACAAAACTGTCTGCTCTTCCCCGGCTGCTCCCCTACTGGCGCGACGTGGACCACACGGCCCCCGAGGCCACTCTGCTCTGAGACCCCCGCGGGACCCAGCCCAAGCAGCCAGGCCAGTTACAAACCACCCTGCCAGCAGCAGGTACCTGAGGAACAGGGCAGGGAGGAGCCCCCCATCGATACGCACTCCCCTCCCCTTCCCTTGGTCGCTGGGAGAATAAAGATGAGGCCGCCGGGGTTGTGTTGCGGGGTGGTTTGTCCGCACCCTGCGTGGAACATCGAGGAGGGAGCACCTCTTCTCCTGGGAGCCTTGGGGGAAAATGAGAGTCTCGGCTGCCCTGAGGGGTTCCTGGCTGAGCTTTGGGGACTACACTTTGGTTAATTCCATCTGTGTAATTCCGGGCTGTAGTAATGGTTTTGTTGACATGAAGCAGAGGAGGCCAGTGGTGAGGCCATGGGTGATGTATTTATTATGCACTGGGTGAGGCAGAGGCTTGAGGGGAGCTTTGTTAGCACCATGGGGCTGCCTTTGCTTCACTAAATAACTACAAGTTGGCCAAGACCTGTCATTACTATGTAATAACTACTTATGCTCTGATTTGTAACGCTATTTTTCATGTGCCTGGAGCCAGACCAGAAGCCAGTTTGATTTATAAATGTTTATGAGTATTGAACCACGACTGTCCTTTCTGTAATAAATGCTTACAGCAAAGATGGGCTGAAGGGGCTCCCTGCAGAATCTGGGGATCTTCCTGTCTTAAATGTTACAAACTGTGCCAGTACCGATTTGACAGTTTCAGGAATGCTGCTTGGATTTGGGGAGGGATTCTGATTTCCAGCTCCAAGCCTCTATTTTCATGCTCCCGAGCATGTGCCTGGTTTTCCAGTGCTGAGAACAAGTACTTACCGCGTTTGCTACCTGGAAAGGCATTTCCAGATCCCTTAGATACGAACATCACCATCAGAACTGAGCTCAGGACACGTGGTGAGACCAAGACCAGCCTCAGCAGGAAGCAGGACAGCCCCAGGGGGACAGGGCTGCACCCCGGACACTCAGTGGGGAACTGGCTCAAGCCTGGCTGGGTCTGACAACCAGAGGATTTAGACCTTTTCTGAAAGAAATAACTGCACCCAAACAGCTTTTGTTTAACCAACTGTGGTTTTTTATATATAAAAAGTTTTTATTATATTGGGAATTAAATTAACTCCTCACACATGTACTTTGCACTGAATCAAACAAAAAAAAAAAAAACCAAAACAAAACAAAAAAAAATAATACAACAACAAACCCAACCCCAAAGTCCAACCCCAGTCTCTGCAGCCCCCAGCCGGTCCGGCAGGAACACCCTAAGGCACACCTTCAAGTATTAGTGTAACAGGGATCCGTGGGGGGGGAGGGGCAGGGGCACACGCAGCCTGAGCTCCTTGCCCTCACCTCCGAAACACACCCACTGCCCGCCGCTGCGCTCCCCCCGTGGCTGAGCCTGCCCTGTAACAGTTAAAATGCTTCTACCCTGGGCACCTTCTTTGTCAGTTTTACAATAAATCATCGTGGGAGAACACAGGTACAAAACCATGAACCCAGGTACAGAACCAAGGTGCTGCTTGATCCTCAGGATCCTCTGCGACTCCCCTGTGTCACTGCACCTGCTGCTAAACCGAACCAAGGCTCCTGCCGTGCCCAGCTCCCCTTCGGGTACATCAGAGGACACCACTAAATTACCAACTTCTAACCTCACATTTTATACCTCTGGGGGGATTTGAATTTATGAAGTCTCCTCCTCATACTTGCTCTGTAACTTTAACAAAGGTTGACTTCTTTTTTGATTAAAAATTCACAATTGTTTTTAAACAAACGCCTCCATTGCAACAGAGTGAATTTTTTCCCCGTTTATTTATGCAGCAGGAGCTTCCAAAAGCACAAGGACCCTGAAAACTGAGGCTCAGCTCTTTGAATGTCTCAACAACAGCATTTCTCATTTCAAAATAGCATTCAGAGAAACATTTCTGCACCAAAACAGCTGCTGTAAACAGCTGGTTAAAAAGGTCCTTGTCCAGACAGTTCCTGCCCTGATCCATCCTTCTCCTACCGGACACCGGGACACAGCAGCCCCGTGGTGCCACCTGGGGAATTCCCAACGAAAGCCCTTCTCTGCCACAGAGAGACATCAACCCCAACGCCAGAAGCAAACGAGTTTCGTGCTGGAGGAGCACTTGCGGGCTCCGTGTGAGGTTTAACAGCCCCGGCACGACCCTTTCATTTTTTTTTATTGGGAAGCTGTGTATCTTCAGCTTCGTGATTCCAATTGTGCACCTTCACTCGATGCCATCAGACCACACTGTTTCATGGTTCATTACTGGCCTCCTGTTCTCGAGGCATCTGTTCAGGCTCTTGCTTCCATGTACCTTAAACAGCTAAATGACCTACCCTCTATGGAATATCCTGCAGCCTTTGCATTTTCTTTTTAAAAGCCCCTTAATTTTGTCTCAGTGCTGTCAGACTAAAAAATATTAAGTTATAAAAAAAGGCTGATATACACAATGCAATATCCAGCAGGATATTGGATTTGCACCACAGGTTGAAGGAAATGTTAAAGGTGAAGGAAATAGAAAAATCAAATCCAAAAAGCTTCAAAAACAAGCCAGTTTTAGTTTGGATTTTCCTTTTTAAAAGATAGAATGCTCTAATAAATGTGTTTTAAGGAAGGTCATACACATGACCAGCATCTGCAGTAGGTCACTTCCTTATTTCCCCTGCTCCCTCACAAAAATATATATACATATATTTATATTTATAGAAATGAAATGGTTTTAGATCCTTATTTTGCAGACAGGAGTGGTGGGTGTAGAAGGCAGTGGGGCACTAGCATTCTGTTTCTTTGCTGTCCACCCGGTTCTGGCGCTGCAGTTTGAAGGAGGAAGCTTTCTCGCTCCTGATGACAGGGTGGTCTGTCAAGTCCTCAAAAGATTTGGCGGCCGAGCTGCTGTTTGGGAAAGGGTCCTTCTCAAACCCGTCCTCGTCGATGTGAGAGTCGGTGCTCGGGTCCTCCTGGATGGTGTCCATTCTTTGGTGGTCCTGTTTGGGTGCCGGGGCGGCGGCGGGCACGGCAGTGATGGGCTGCAGGGGCTGGTGCCGGCTCGTCGTCTGCGCCGCGGGGAAGGGCTTGATGATCCGAACGGAGGCAGAGTCCAGGCTGCTGAGCATCTCCACGTTCTGCAAGACACAAGAGGCCACGTCAGAGGGCAAAGCAGCCAGGAGCTAGTCTGGAGTTCAGTTCTTGCACCATTTTCAAAGGGGACAGGCACCTTCTGAGGAGCACCCGCACTTGTTAGAGCGGTTTAAAGGCTACCACGTCCTCCCCTCTCAGGAGAGGCACTGGCTGCCCTGGTGCTGCCACGTGATACCTGCAATGGCCAGGTGGAACCCCCTGCACCGTGTTGGAACAGGATCTGGGTTTGGGATTTCACACTAGATTTGTGCTTACTTAAGAGCAAGGGAACATCCACTGAATTTCACTGAATTTTTAGAGTTGGAAGGGACCATAGAGATCATCTAGTCCAACTCCCCTGCTGAAGCAGGATTGCCTAGAGCTTGTCAGAGCGTGTTACTCAGGACGGCATCCAGGCGGGTCTTGAAGATCCCCAGAGAAGGGGACTCCACACCCTCCCTGGGCAGCCTGTTCCAGGGCTCTGGCACCCTCACCCTAAAGAAGTTTTTTCTCATATTTGAGTGGAATCTCTTATGTTCTAATTTGTGCCCGTTGCCCCTCGTCCTCTCACTGGGAACCACTGAAAAGAGTCTGGCTCCCTCCTCCTTCAACCCACCCTTTAGATACTTATAAGCATTGATAAGGTCTCCCCTCAGCCTTCTCTTCTCCAGACTAAAGAGTCCCAGCTCTCTCAGCCTTTCTTCATAAGGGAGATGCTCCAATCCTTGAATCATCTTCGTTGCCACCCGGAGTAATCTGTTGTGTTGGTTTTTTTTCTCAAGAAACCCAGCTACACTAAGCACTGAAGGCAGAAAAGGCCCTTTTACCTCCGCTGGTTCCGACCCCTGCAGACAACCCTTCTGCAGCAAGGACCCCACGTTTTGCAGAGCTTCTTCTGCAGCGTCACTTGGCCGGGAAGAAGCTGTCTGTGGTTGAAGCTGCCCGTGCCCCGTGCAGAGGGGAGCCCGTAGGCAGGCGCCCGCTGCACAGAGCGGAGCCGCTTCCTGCCCCGGGAGCTGCAGCTGCTGCGAGAGCTGCTCTGTCAGCAGGGCCAAGGCACAGCTCTTACAGGAAGGAAGCAGCAGACCCCACAAAGCTGCAGGGCTTGACGGATTCAAAGACGGGCTCGCTCAAGAAACAGCTTTCCCTCAAATGGATTGATCCATCTCCAGCGTGAGGTGGGGGGCTCCAGGTCTGTCTATACCGCTCCTTTGCTCAGTGCCCTGCACACACGGCAGGCTCTGGTCTCCTGTCACACACCGTGCAGCTTTTGACCCATTCCCATTCCAACAGAAACTTACACTGGGGCAAAACAGGGACTTTGTGTTCTCCTCGTACTGCTTGTCCAGTTTCTTGTCCTATTGGAAAACAAACAAAAGCAAACTTAAATACACATTTTACAAAATAAGAAAGTTGGTTTCCCACTCGCAAGGTCCCTGTCCCCACTTCCCTACGGGGACACAGCGGGGCGTGTGGCTCTTCTCCCTTCCCACCCACCCCAGGAGCACCTGTGGGTGCAGCAACCCTCTGCTCTAACCCCATGCTCCCAGCATCACGCCCCGTGCCCACGCTCCCCATTGCCATGAAGTCTCTCTCTTTACCCCTTCCACCCAAGACCACTTCCTGCTCTGGGTCTCCCCCCAAAATGCAAGCGTTATTTCTCAGCAGGGTTCTAGAAAACTTTGACTCTAATGGAAGTTACCAAAATTATACTTGGGTAGATCGGGAGGCAGAGGAAGAAAATCTGCCTAGGAAAGAATGGGACGGGCTTCAGGGAAGGAACAGTGATGGGAGCCCTGGGTCTGTCAGAGCCCAGCAGAGTTCAGCAGGAGTTTTGCCAACTGAAGGAGCAGTAAGTCCTACATGTGCTGGATTCCCCCCCGGGGTTTGCTAAAAGCTTCCCATCGCCTTCTCCCACAGACAGCTGCCATTTCATGTATGAAGGGTGTTCTCTTACAGCTCAATCCAACAGAGCAGTCATCTCAAAGACAGCTTACTCACCACGCAGTGCACAAGGATGCTGAGAGGAATCCAAAAAAGCAAGGAGAAAACGAGCACAGAGCCCACTATGTTATCCGCCAGGAACTTCCCTGTGAAATCAGTTCAAACCCATTAGTTCCCTACCAAACAAACACTCCCTCATCAACATACACATCCCTCCCCATCCTGCAGCCACTGCTCGTGCAAGCCAAGCCACAGAACAGCTCAGAGAGGCACAGGCTGCAGGACTAGGAAAAGGTAAAAGAAATCTTAACAATAACAGGTTTTTTCCTCTGTTTCTGTCTGATGAGACATGCTGACAGGCCCTAATGTTCAAAATGAGCTGATTTGGAACAGGCCAGACTGAATTAGCCACGTGTCCCTCTCCATCAATTAATACAAGACCCTGTGAGTCTGTTACCGAATTCTGATCTTACAGCCATGTCGTAACTACCTGCCTCCACAAATATTTGAAAAATCAAATAGATACAAACTTCCTCTAATAGGCGAACTTCCTCACCTAAATAGCTTTCACAATTACCTAACAAACAATTTTTTGGCCTAGAACTCAAGAGTGAATGGCCCAAGCCCAGCTAATTGCACTGCGTAGGCACAGCGGTACGGTGGGCACAGGGAGTTACCCATTATTAGGCAGCACCGGCTCATTAACGGGCTTTGTTTGGTTCCAGTGACAGTGAGACACTGGGGGGTTACCCCGGGGAGCCCCTGCTGGGACTGCCCGCTGGGGATCACACCCAGGAGTCCCACGCACCCGGCCTGAGCAGTGACTCAGCTCAGACACACAGCTTGAGGAGCAGCACCTCAGTGGTTTTCTTAAGTAAGAGAGAAATGAAGTTTTCCTCTCCCACCCTGTTGACATTTAAATTCCCCCGAGAGGCCAACTTTACACTACACTGCATCTAGCTGACCTCTGCAAAGACTCTCTGTTATTTCCTTTTCTCTAATTGACCTACTTCTTGGTATTCAGACAAGAAGCTATCGTCTCCTTTACAAGCTTGGAAGATGCCTAGAAAATAACAAAGTGAAGAAATGCAAAATGATCCCCCATTCTTTCAGCTTTAAACTGTAAGATCAGTATTGTCAAACTTTAGGAAAAAATAAATGCTTATATTTTATATATATATCTATCAGAAACACAGCTACTAGCTACCCTTGCACGCAGGTGAAGGAAACCAGCCAGCTAACTTCCTCCCAGGCTTTAGAGGTTCATGTCACGAACTGAAAAACCCCGTATGGTTACACATCTTACCAAAAGTATTGATGCTGAGTTGGTCTATGAAATCCCAAAATCGTTCAATCACATCCTGCACTTGCTTCTCACATTTGCCCTGCAAAAGAAAGCATTTATTTACAAAATGAAGCTAAGCCTTCTTGGAGAGGGAAGAAGTTAGAGACAGTAATGAGATTAAGTCTACAGACACAGCAGCACTTGACTCACATTCTGCATAGAGGTTTACACTCGTGCCCTGTACCAGCGGTCCATTTTTACTGCCCTTATTTTTGGCAAAACAGTTTCAATTCTATTGCTGTCTGAAACAGATGAAGTTTTAATGTCTGAAACGTGCAAAACCACCCCGCCCTTGCCCCATGTTTAGGGGACATAAAGCTGAAGCTTCTGCAGAGGCTGCAGCAGCAGAAGGCTCGGTTCCCGTTACCCACCGAGAAGGTGCAGCTCTGAGCAGCCCAGGGTCACAGCCAGACTCCCAGCTGGGGCTGTGCTGGTGTAACACAGCACATCATCCACCTTTCAGTTCTGCCAGCAGAAGGGCAGGGTCATGCCTATCCCAAATTCACTTCTGCCAGCACCCCGCTCAGCTGCGACCCTTGGGTCTGCAGGTGACACGACTGTGCAGCTGTACCACCAAAACACTCACCGAGGGCCAGCAACCCACCACTCTCCCTGCCCCTGCCAGGTACTGCCAACTAGATTTTCATGTGGTTGCTCCCTGACCTGAATTATTTTAGTCAGAATTAATTGAGCTAACGTGCACAGCTGAAATAGCAAGCACTGCAGACCTAGGCGAGGTTAGGGAAGCACCCATTCACCTCCGAGACAGAGCAGGCCGTGCAGTGACACCTGGGACAACTTACATTTGTGTCGCAGAAGCCCACGGTGCACGGCTTCCCCTTGCGCAGGAAGAGGAACTGGTTGTTGGCATCGACGTAGGGCACGCACCGATCCTGCTCGTCCCGGCAGCACACCTTGCAGGAATTATCCGTTTCTGGAATAAAGCAACACCCTCATTTCCTCGGCAGCACCAGGAGTCACCCGTAACCACACAGGTGTGTAACCCCACACGTCCCCTGGCTGACTGTGTTCCACTCTGATGGCCAAACCTGAAACTCAACCAGGTGCCCTGTGCAACACATTAGGAGACACTGCGGGACCAAGCTCTTCAAGCTGATACTCCAACAGGCAGGTGAAGAGGTTCCAAACATGTCTGAGATACAGATGTAAATATTTCTTGGACTTGGGACCTGTAGGTACCCTTCTCCTTGGCTACTGCCTCCATCTCAAATGGTGGGGCTCATGGCACTTCCCTGCCCCTGTGAAGCCCTAATCCTACTCACAGCTCTTCACCAGTTCTAGGAGCTGAGATGAAGAGCAGGAGAACAGCAAAGCTTATTGACAGAAGTATGTAACACGGTGGTTTGCAGTAGCAGGGGACTGGGCTCAGGGATCCTGTGTCTCCAGGCACTTCAACCTCTTTGAAATCATTCTGTAACAAATTGTTGGAGGCCACCACTCCTCTGCCAGATGCCTGGGCCAGAGGTTGGTTGTGATCCCTTTACAATCAGAGAACAGTCAGACCCTCCCTCCCATCCACCTGTGCCAGAGGGGATGAAGGGTGGGAGAGTGCCCTCTCTTTTAACTGGGGTGGCCAGACTGTAAGTCTCATCTTAATGTCTTCAAGCCCAGACCATCAGAGGACATCCACATTCCTTCTCCAAACCGAAAATACTAGCCCTAAAAAAATAACAGTTTCAACTTTTTCAGAAACCGCAAACCCAGCCCTCAACACACAACCCCACAGCGAGGCCAGCGCTCCCGCGGAGCGGAGCTGAGGCACGCGGGTCAGTGCGGTCCCACCTCACTCACCGTTGCACGCGCAGGACCGTAGGTTCTTCTCCCTCTCACAGAAAGGGACGCACTCCCCATCCTTGCACTTCCCCATGTCCACGCAGACCGTGTCATCGGGAGCATTCCCTGGAGGGGGGCACTCGCTGCTGTTCCCTAGGGATGGAGGTCACAGGGTGGGAGGGCTGCGTTAGAGCGAAGGGCAGAACACCGAAGCGTCCAGAATTACAAAGCACAACAAAGGAAATCCAGACTCATCCCAGGGGGCACCCCAATAGCTTGTTCTTGGCTTTCATCTGCAGGCTGCCTGCCAGCTCCTCCGAGAGGCAGCAGAAGCTTTCAGAGGCTTTCAGCAACTCAGGCAGTGTAGCACTCCAGAGACCAAGCAGCAGGGAGCAGACCCTGGAGCTCTGACTTGACTCCTTGCCTCCAGGAATGATTACGAGGGGGAAAATAAACGAGTGGGGAAGTGAAGCAGAGTTGCAGTAATTCCACCCTTTCTATGGCAAGATTCAGCTCATTCTTGTCCCCTTCCCAGTGACACACCCTGTTTTGCTTTTTCTTTTTTAAAGGGAAAGAAAGAAGGAAGAAAAGCAAAAGAAGAAAAAAAAATAATCAACGTTTTTCATGTTCTTCTGGGCAGTAAATCACCAAGTGACTCCTGAACTACAATGAAACTCATTATGGGGCAATTTCATGATGCTTAATGGGTCTCTAAAATTACATGTACCGGATGAATAAAGGGCACTAGATTGAAAGGGGATCGAACAGGACACTGAGCCCGGAGCACTGGACCAGCTGACGTAAAGGGGACAGAAACACGTCCTACCAGTGCAAAAAGACTCTCCTTTACAAGTGGCATTTATGGCTTCTTGGCATTTCTTCTGCGCACTTTCAAACTGGCAGCCTTTACAGCAGGGACTGTTCCGATCACTGTGGAAAGATCAAAATGAAAGGAAGAAATATTAAGCAATTTTTTTTAAAAGAAGCACAAGCATGACAAAGTGGAGGAAAAAGGATGTTTGGCGGGGGGGGAGAAGCTACTTCTTGGCGACTGACTCACTGATTCAAAACTCTTGCCCTCTCTGCCCCATCCCACGACCAATTTTCTACACACCCACTCACTCTTCATTCACTGAAGGTGAAAGCACGTAGAAAGTGCTTATTAAGAGATAATACAGGGATCCTTATATTTATTCAAGGCACCTGGATCCTCTTGCTGTGCAACGTTGGACAAGATCTTCCATTGTTTTCCTCCCCCGTTTGTCCTGAAGGTTTACTGCTCTTTATTCTCTTTATTCTTTTTGTTCTGCATCTAACGTAAAAAAGCCCTTGGAACACACACACCTGAGGGCAGGTCATTAAAGCTGGGGGAAGTTTTTGCGAGTTGCAGGACCCCTCTACTGTCACGTGGTGCAGAACTCAACTCCAAAAAACTACACTGTACTATGCATTGTAACAGGGCCATGAACACCCCAAACAGCAAAAGAACAGTGCTGTCACTGCTGTCTGCTCACCAATTTTGCAGCAGTCTTGAAAACAGCGGAATGTGACCCCAGTTTACAGCTGCTTTGCAATAGGAGCAAAAACTGTATTTGCACAGGGAATTTTTAATACTAATTTTTGAATGCTTGGTTTTTGCTCTTAAATATACCAACAGTCACCTCCAAGCCCCCAGCTCTTGGCACTTTTCAGAAATAGTAACAGAATGCTATAAAAATTAAATGTATGCAGCCAGTGCATGCACACAGAAGCCTTTCCTGAAAGTTCTGACTGTGTTCAGCTCCCACGTTCAGCCGTAAGACCAGAATCAGGGCTGTGACAGGGCAGGTGGCTCAGGGGGCTCTCAGCCCAGCCGACCCTTCTCTCCCGTGTAAGAAAAGTTGCACCTTATTTCTCCTCACCTGCATTTGGCACCGTCTTTCAGTTTACAGTCTGCAGAGCAGCAGGGATCAGCCTGTTGGTGCAGGAGGCCAGGATCGCACTCCTCCCCTTCATCCACCCGGGAGTTCCCACACACTTTGTTGTTGCGCTCCTTGAAGCACTCCTGGGCCTTCACCTCTATGGTCCTATGGATGGATTTTTTGCTGCAGCTTGAGAACATCTAGAGAGTCACGAGGGGAAAGAGCAGCACTGAGGAGCGTACCTTTCTGTCAACACCTGGCACCTGAGACAGCCTCAGTTTCCTTAGGCCTCCAAATTCTGGTATCTCAGAAAGCAGTTACTCCCTCTATATTGCAAGTTTGATACCTTAGAAAAAATTTAAGATGGGAACGTAATGGTTGGGTCCATAAAGGACACTGCTATGTTACAAGGCAGGGACACTCGCACACAGCCTGCCCCAGGGCCACAGAACCAACTCCAGCTCTCCCACAGCTCGAGGAGCACCAGCAACCGTCCCCAGGCAGCGCTGCAGAGCTGCAGGCAGGGAGAGACTGCGCTGCCTGTGGGCAGCAGGGCTGGCCCGAACCCCCAGGAGTCGGACTGGGCTGCAGATTAATCAGTCCCTCCATAATCTTGGTTTCTCATCCGCAGAACGGGCACAATGCCAAGCCCACGCTGACAGTGCCAGCTTCTGAGCCTGGTGAGCACCACGACGGTGGCGTCTGGCAGTCTCTCTCCAACAAGGACCGCTATGGACCACCCAAACGCTATTTGCTACTGGAGGTCCTGTATTTGACTCCTGCTGATGACTCGCTCTTAGAAGCATGCAGCTACAGTTAATTACAAACAACTAATTTAAAAAGCACCTGAACATGCTATGAACTCCAGCAAAACTCAGAATCAAAAGATAAACTTATCTTGCAGAGAACTCAATGGCATACAAGTATGTTTTTTGCTTATGGGTAATCCATTACATCCCTGATGGTTTGCAACTACAGGAATCATTAACTAAAAAGACTTTCCATGCAAAGGGTCATTGACCATAGCAGAAACTTGCAAGAGGAAGCAAAACTATACCTTGTTGTTTTCATGATCTCCACTGACAGCAATTGGATACATAACATATTTCCCTCCCTGGTCTTCAGTGGGGGCACACTCTGGCAGACTATCTGGATCGTGCTCTGCTCCAAAGTTATGTCCGAGTTCATGCGTCGTAACCAGGTCAGCCTCCTTTTTGAACATGAACAAAGCAATGCCAAAAAAAGTTAGTCCAAGCAGGACAGGACAGAAGATCCCAGCTACTTCCAGGCCACCCACAATTCTAACATACACTAAGATGGAAAAAGATTTGCCTATGAACATTTTTTGTTTAGTTTTAGAAGTGGGGAACTGAAGGGAAAAAAATTACAGTCCATTTCCAAAGGCAAGTTCCAGGCCTAGGTTTGAATACTAAACCGCTCTTAAAGGCAAACGCTGTCCTACAATACGGATTCAATCTTGTTTTAATGCAATGCAGATGCTTAAAGTATCAAAACTTGATTTTAAATAGCTGGAAGGCATAAAAAGGTGAAACAAAAAACAATCCGAACAAACATCAGCTACTACAATTAGTCAATCTCTTGTTTAACATACCTTGCCATTAGAATTAGTTCTTCTAAGTGGATGATGACACTAGGAGTGCTGAATAAGCTCTTCTATTGCACGACTACTAGGCAAGACACCTGCACATGTGGCCCAACCAGGATGGATTTCCAAAGTCATTTATGCAAGACAGGACTCCCTGTGCTGAGGATCCCAAATGAGCTCTGCCTCACTGCACTGCACACCTCCCTGCTGGGCCTTGACCAGCAGATGGTGTCAAGCTCACTGGGTGAAACCACAAAGAAAGCCAGCTCAGAAATAAAAGTTAACCACAGGGAGACCGAGCAGTTCACCAGAAAGAGGAGCATGTTTGAAGAGCTAACTGTCCTTGCCCTGCAAGGAGCAGCACCAGTACCCAGCACAGGCACAGCTAATGCAAGAGGTGCCCCAGAGATCACTCCTGTGCTTCATTCTCTTTACTCTGGGGAAGAGTTATAAGCAGGTTTTTTTTAGTTTTTTAAACCCAAGTGGACACCATGGGTCCACAGGATTGTCTTCTGTGGAAGACAATCCACAATTGAGCAGTTCACCAGAAAGAGAAGCATGTTTGAAGAGCTAACTGTCCTTGATCTGCTGGGCAGGCACAGGAATGACCAAGCCCTGCAAGGAGCAGCACCAGTACCCAGCACGAGCAGTTCACCAGAAAGAGGAGCATGTTTGAAGAGCTAACTGTCCTTGCCCTGCAAGGAGCAGCACCAGTACCCAGCACAGGCACAGCTAATGCAAGAGGTGCCCCAGAGATCACTCCTGTGCTTCATTCTCTTTACTCTGGGGAAGAGTTATAAGCAGGTTTTTTTTTAGTTTTTTTAAACCCAAGTGGACACCATGGGTCCACAGGATTGTCTTCTGTGGAAGACAATCCACAATGCTCCCGCTGCCTCATCCCAACCTTTGTGCCTGCCACTGGGAAGACAGCAAACTCAATTTCCTTTGTAACCCAAGGCAGAACTCCAGCCTGGAGATTGAACAACAAATGCAAATAGCATGGCAACAGCTACAGCTCTTTGTCAACATCCCTCTAACACAAAGCTTCACTGTCTTTTTTTTTTTTCTAGCTTCTTGACAGCTTCTGTGCCAAGTTCTAGCCCACACATCAATTATGAATTCCCTTTATAATCAGGCTACAGAAAAGCACAGCTGAGAAGTCAGCAGAAGTCAGCAAAAGAGAAATATGCCCAACTGCAAAGATCTGGTAGATGCAAACAGAGGCACTGCTCTGGTATCTTTACAAGTGAGACAAAGCTCATATTCAGGCCTTTATGTATTCACTATTACATCAAGTATAAATAAAAAAACCCACCCAGACAGCACCAATTTACATTGGCCTTAGTATTAGTTAGCAGTAATAAGCCCTGTCTGTTCTACTGTTCTCTGCTCTACTTACTCAGGACACACACAAAAATCAGGTAGAGGAATTTCATTAGAAGGCCCAAACTAAAACTCCTACTTTGCCAGCACTACTTTCCCTGCTTTACCTTGCAAATGGAACAGACTAAGTGTAACGCAATCGTCTATCTGCACATTGTGGCATACCTAACAGCAAACATATACGTTTTTTCTTACTTGAATCAGCAAACTAATTTTAACGCATTGTGGCATACCTAACAGCAAACATTTTCTTACTTGAATCAGCAAACTAATTTTATTTTTATGGTGAGGCTACTTGTATAATAGTGCTTGTTCTGTTTGAGGGTTTGCTTTCGGTTTTTGTTTTTTAAAGCTAAATACATTTAAATTCATCTTTAGGTATCAAAATCCTGTTTATATCTGGACAACTGCAGCTCTAACTAGACACTAGCTATTTTTCCCCATTCCTGTTCCACAGTGAATTCAATTCCATTCAGTCCTGATTCCCCTTGTCAGCAAGAAAAAAAAAACAACAGTGATTTTGGTTCTGTGCCCTACATCCTTGCCTCCAGGGCTCTGACTCAATCAGAAAGCCAGCAGCTTGTTTCTGGGAGCATGGAAGCTTGTCACAATCCCATGGCACACGTCACCAACACACCAAACGTTCGCGCTGTGCAGAGGAGGATACCTTCCTACCTTTGTGAGGATGGTCTTCCCATAGTTCTTGGTGCTGGTTAAGCCACTGTTCAAATAGATGTCCTTCTTTGCAGTTTGATTGTAATAAGCTATAGAAAAAGACAAATGCTTTTATTGGTTTTCAGGGATTTAGGGGGGAGAGAGAGATCCTTGTTTGGGGAAATGAACAGCTTTATTGTCTCACCAGTGAGACCCTGCCTCTTGCCAGGTTTTGGAGTTGGGAGTCTTTAAGCACAGCACAAGCAGTAAAGGGGAAAATACAAGAAATTTCCAAGACAACAGCACCTGCCATTGCAGAACCACTGCAAGATGCACCCACAGAAAGCAGCCCTTGGCCAAGGGTCTGTTCTAGCCAGCTCGTTCACACCAGAGAGCTTAGTGACTTTTATCCTTCCCTCCCTTCTTCTTCCAGCTCCAGCCAAGAAAACAGCCATCTATTCTATCTGAAAACCAATGACTACAGCCTAGGCAAATAACACATCATGTTCCATGAAAGCTGGAGAAGAGGATTAAACACAAATAACAAAGACTAGCTTTCAACCCACAACTGGGAGGAAGAAAAAGAAGCCTTGCCTTTAGGACAAATGCCACCGTGGCTGTTAGGTCTGGGAGAGCCAACATAAGCCAATCCAAGTGTTCCCATGTCAAAATCTTGATATGTGAAGAGATGAGCAAGGCACACATGAGCTGCTTTCTCAGCAATATCAAAGCTAAATTGCTTTAAAGACAAAAAGAAAAAAAGCCAAATCTTTGTAAGACACTTTATGGTGCATATTAGAAGTCTACAGATAAGAACATATATCTAATGAGCCAAACAACACCTTCTAGACCTGGTTAAGTCAGAAGAAAGCAGCTCTTTAGCTGTTCTACAGAGCTGTAGAAAATTAAATTAACACCCAAGTACATTGTAGGCATTCATTTACATAACTTGTCTATTCATTTCCCCTTTTCACAGAGAGGGGAAAACCAAGTGCAATAATTAGATGAAAGTCACAAGGCAGCCAGTCTCAGGGCCAGACGTATCAGGACTGCCTTTCTGACTCAGGCCACATATTAATAACTCTAATTGGTGTGTGTTCTATAATTATGCAACAGAGCCCTTTACTGTGGGCTACAGGACACATCAGCTAGTTAGACTTTGTGTAACATTTACACGTCATGGGAAAGAAGCAGAGGAGTTTCATCTGTTACTACAGAGCAGCTCTATGAATGAGTAAATCTCTGGAAGGGCCACCATTTTTCAAGGGTTACAACCTACCTCTAGCAGCGTTTTCACATCCCAGGCATCTTTCTTATCATCTGGGTAACTTTTTGCCATATTGTAATGCTTTTCTCCAGGTTTTACAAGATTTGGCTCATTGTGGATGATTATCTATATTTCAAGAAGGATGACAACAATGTAGAGGAATTTTGGTCAATTTTATAGCCACAGAAAAGCTTTCTATGTAATCTTAAATGTCCCAACAGATCTGCGAGGAGGAAAAATTCAGACTCAGCATGCTTCTAATGTTACCTTTTCAGCCTCTGCTAGTTAAGATACACCAACCACATTATAAGTAACTACACCTGCCCTTTTACAGGGCAACATCAACAGTTTTCACTGTAACATTCTGCTTTCGATGCGTATTTCTCTATCAAAAACCCCAAATACAACCAGGATCTACATCTAGCATAAATAAAATCAGAGTCCTAGCTAACCAAAATGCATTTTAAAGGATTGCTACCTTACCAGTAACATAGAATTAGTGCACTGTGTTCTTTCCCTCTCTCTGCCCAATTAACCCAACTTCCTTGCTCCTGCAGACCTTTTCTCAGCAAAGGGGCAGCTGGCTTTTACCATGAGTCTCCGTCACAGCTCGAACAGTACTCTGAGCTGATGGATTTCTTGTCCTTTTAGTGTCCTCTTCCAGATTTCTGTCCACTAACTTTCAGAAGCCATCATCCCGTGTCCACCCTGTATCAGTATCTACACTAACACAATGTCTAAGGGAGTCATAAAAGCTCTTCAGCCAGGATTTGTGTTTTCATCTGTTTGAGGCCCACTCAGGTTTTGTAGGCTAAGTGCTTTGACACAAGCATTAAATACATGCGTAAGAGTATGGCTGACAGAAACATGAATTAAAAAAAATAAAATTAAAAAAAAGCATCTTTAAATTGAGATTAACTATGGAAAAATACTCCCTGAAAACTCCCATCTCAAACGTGGCAAGGAACATGGCATGCTATGTCAGATCATTAACACCACCTCTCACAAGATGCTATTTCAGAGTGCTCCTGGCTGGAGTTAATAACGTAGGATTTGATTATTTTAGCTCTAATCCAGATAAAGTTATCAGAAACCCTGATATCTAAACCATGTTCTTATCCTTTAAATTGGAAGCCCTCTGCATAGTCCAGTGAATACCTGTTCTATCTGTATGCCGTACCCATTGAAGGCTCCATCGTCCCAGGAAGTATTTCGGTAGATGTCATCTACTCTGTCTATCAATTCAATCTATATAGAAAAGAAAAACAAGTTATTTAGTTCTAAGCATTCATGTAATAAAGTTCAAGACACTCAGAGAAGCTGCAACATACTTATCTAGAAACACTCACTTCAAATTAAAACTGAACCTCATATAACATAACAGACATACTCAGTGATCCAAAACCCACAGCAATCCAGAGAGTATTACCAAATATCCTTGAAAATTTTCCATAATAAAAAAGCAGTACAAACTTTCCCATTTATCTCTTTTGTTTGTGTAGTGGAAGAGCAATAATATTAAGAACATCTTGTGAAACCCTTTGTTCACGTAAAAGATTTCCATGTTTCTTTGAGGGGAAGGGCAGAGGAGGGAGTTGTTTTTACTGGTTTGTTTTACCACGATGTTTAACTAGTTTAACTGACCCCTGAGGCTCGCCTCCCTCTCCCAGCCAAAAACCCATTATTTTCCTCATTATGGTTTAAGCACAAGGTTCCAGAAAGTCTCTCATCAGTGCTCATTATCAATACCTCCTTTTTCAATCTGTTCTCATCTTCTTAAAAACCACCTTCTACTAAATATAAACCATCAAACTCGCTCAGAATGAGAAGGGACATTCAGAGCCACTCCATAATACTTTATGCTTTAGTTTTCCAATCACTGTGTTGTTAACAGTACACATCTACCCAGGAAACACAAGAGTAACTCAGCTTCAGCATATGTCAGATACTGAGATAATAGCATCTCTGCAAACACACAAATTGCGGCTCCCTTACCTAGGGAATGTAAACATTTCTGGGGACAGAAAGGTCAAAAAGCCAGAAAAGGTGGAACAGAGCGATTAGCATTTCAAAGATTCAGGCTCAGAAAGAGACTCTTGACAAACAACAGACCCCCAAGAGCTGTTTCATTTGGTTTTGTCTCCAGTCCCCAAACCCATACTCTCCTCTTCTGCTGAAAGGCTGTGGACAACCGTTCTATTTCACAAAAACCTGTCAGGTAGAGAACCCAGTTGTATTGGTTTGGGCTGAGTTACTTGGTAACTGGTACACATGATGGAGCCCTGTTTCCCTGAGGATGGATGGCTAAACATCTGCCTGATGATGGGAAGCAGCAAATTAATTCCTTATTTTGCTTTGCTTGCGTGTGCAGTTTTTGCTTTACCTATCAAGGAGTGTAGCAACAGGACAAGGGGCAATGGTTTTAAATTGAAAGAGGGGAGATTTACATTAGATACTAGAAAGAAATTCTTTACTGTGTGGTTAGTGAGGCAGTGACACAGGTTGCTCAGATAAGTTGTGGATGCCCCAAGCCTGGAGGTGTTCAAGACCAGGCTGGATGGGGCTTTGAGCAACCTGGTCTAGTGGGAGTGTCCCTGATCACGACAGGGGGGTTGGAATTCGATGATCTTTAAGGTCCCTTCCAACTCTAACCATTCTATGATTCTATGATTAAACTTTTTATCTCAACCCACCTTTACCTGGCCCCCCCCCATCCCAATGGGGAGAGGTGAGCGAGTGGCTGGGTGGGCCTGAGCCCTCCGTCAGGGTTAACCCACAACACCCATGTACAACCAAACAAATTGCTTACCACACCTGCTTCTAGTTTTATTGTTCTAGACAGAGGATCCTGGAAAAATCTGTGGGGGAACGGGGATCTGTACAAGTTGGTTTTGCCTATAAGCTTTAAACCTGTTTGAACTTTAAAGATGCTTGGATTGTTAGCAGTGGATTTTAAAATCCAGGAGGTTCTAAAGCTCTGACTAGAAAAAGAAAATTTCTTAGACAGAAAATAGCACACCAGGAGAAGTATGTGAAGGGAATGGATTTGTTTGTAAGTGAAACTTAAAGACTATTTAACTACAGTATCACCATTATAAAATATTTTTAAAGCATGATTTAGCACCTTCTCAGGTAAAAAGCACACACAGCCATGAGAAGCAAATACATTATGTTGTACAAAAGTAGTATAAGCTGTATGCTGTTTTAACTATTGAATCACTATTTTTTCCTGCACTTATTCCAGCAAATTGTAGCAGAGCATATTTACTTACCAAATAGTTTATAGTGGTACTCTCTTCCCCACGGCCCATATACTTGAAAAAACGATGATCTGCCACTACCAACATCTTGCACGTGTTTTTGGAGGTCTCTGGAACAGCTCTTTTCTTTCGATGGATGTTTGCTAATGGGAACATTTCAAATAAGATTAAATAAACGCTCAGTATAACTGCCAATGCTGTGTCTATTATCTTTATTTAAGACACAAGTATGGGTTCGGGTGGGTTTTTGGGGGGAGAACAGGGATGTTTAATTCAGGGGTTTTTTTAATAACTATTCTTAAACTTTATCTTTGCAAGAGTCTTCAAACTTCTTGTGAGGAAACATATGTATAGTAGTGAAATTGAGTTATTCAATAGATTTACCAGTGAGCTTTTATGGTCATCACCTCAGCCTTAACACCTCTCCTCCTTTTCCTAGTCATTATCACAACCACTGCTGACACAGCAAAGGATGGAGGAAAAAGGGACAAAACACTCTCAAAACCCCATCAAGGTGGATTCTCTGAGTCACCACCGAGGCCAAACAGGTCCTGCTGCACGGGGCACAGAAGTTGTTTCAATGTTTGCCTCAGCACCCCTACATTGCTGCCAGCTATCACAACAAACACTACTTAGGCCTGATGAAATCGCTTCCTCCCCTTGGCCAACTGTTTGGTAGGGCCAAACATCCTTTCAGCAAGCCAGGAAGAAACTTGCCCTGAGTGATGGTTTATTCCTTTCATCAGTTGTTGGGGCTGTTTTGGACGGGGAATGGGCATGAGGAAGAGTGCTGCTTTTTTTCCCCCATCGATGAATTTAAAAAGCTAACAGTTAAAATAGAAGCAGCAACACAGATTATTGCCCAGGTTCTGATCTTACTTGCAGACGTAGCCAGAATTCAAGCATTTGTTTCAAAGATGCTGCTCTCCCAAGGTATGGACACTCACCTTCATTTTGTGTCCTGTCTTCCAGTCCTTTTGGCAACAGTTCTTCTTCATTCAGCTTTAAATAACCACACACTTTGGGGGACTGCAATCTTGAGAAGTCTCTAATATCTTCAGACCTGTAGACCAACAGTCTTTCATCTTGCACATCATCTACAAATCTCCACAGTGGCTGACAGGAGAACAGAAATGCAATTAGTTAGGAACACAGCGAATGCAAAGACTAAGTCTATATAAGCAGACAGCTTTCCATGTACACAAACACAAATGCACTGGACTATGACAATTTCATCCAGAGCAGTAAGTCTAGTGATAAAAAAAAACGTCCTCAAGAAAGCCAACAGAACTGAATTCTCTTATGCTACACAAGCATCAAAGACATCTAAGATCATCTCAACAGAGCAGTGGCAGTCACCTGATAAGGCTGTAGAAAGGGCAGAATTTTTCTTCCCCTCCAGAATATGAGGAAGCTGAGGAGGCACCTCAGGCTGCTCTGCTCCCTCCAGAACAGTATGGAGAGTGTCTGGGACAAGGTGCTTAAACTACGTTAACAAAGGCACTGGAGCTGGCAGGTAACAGAGAATACCTAACTGCACAGCAGAATGTGCTCTTCACAGCAGAGGGCAGGCTCTTCAATGCTCGATAGCTACCCAAGTCACTTATGAGCCTGAAAATTTCTCCAAAACCAAAAGAAAACAAGAAAACCACAAAAGCCCAACATAAGACACTAATTCCCATAGCAGATGCATACTAGCCATCTTTTTCTGTACCGACATGTCCCTTTTATTGTCTGTACATAACAGCTAGAGCAACACCACCAAATATCACACAGACAGAATCTGTTCTTTGGGCAAGGCCAAGTAGCATAGATTGCCCACATCCACAACGCAGAGGACCTGGGTCTGGGTCTCCTCCGGCCTTTAGGCAGTGATCTTCCAAGTTTAGACAACTATTCTATAGCATACCATGCTTTTGGTTTACAGCAAAAAGATCCTGAAACTTGAAGGCTGTGCAGGCCCAGCAGCCACGTGCCTGCAGCACAAAACTGAGGGCACGTTTCACACCTTTGGGTAAGGTGTGAGCGCACCAGGGCTTTATACAAACATCCACAGCCTTTCCAAACGGTGCAGGAAGACCACAAAAGCAAAGGCAGGCAATGGCAGAGTGGCTTTGTCCACGTTGCCTTTTGGGAACAGTTACTGGCCCACACCATCTCTGACTGCACACAGGCATCATCTTATCCATGGCTACCGAGGGGCAGGGCAGAGCCTCTACACCGTTGCCTGCCTTTATTTAGCTGTACAGCCACAGCCAGGGGGGAGTAAGGGGGGGCTGCGCAGAAAACCACGATGTGCTTACCTTACTCAGGACCACAAACACAAAAATGCTTTAAATCACAATCGAACAACTACTATATGCTCTTAATGTAAAACACAAGCACAGTGGTTTGGGTATTCTAATCACATTTTTATACTTTAATATGACTAGATTTCCCAGGTTTACCCATAATTCTGCATATCCTTGGGTTTAGAGACAATTACAATATCAATACAACACTCAGTCATAATTACTGTTATTCAGACATTCTAATACAGCTTGTGTCTGGGAATATACTGAACAAGTCATTAGGACACTCTCTAATTATGTATTTGTTGAATATTTTTAAACCAATAGTTTAAAATAACACAAGCAATGAAAATGGTGAAAAAAAGAAACAAAGGAGCAGGGAAAAGTAAAAGATTCTCAAATAAAGCTCTATGAATGGGAAGAATTCCAAGATTTAAGAAAGCCAAAATTTTAGAAAGCTCAACAGACCTCAACTCTGCTCAGAAGGCCATACAGTTTGTTATTTTCAAGGACACGATCACTGCTAATTACTAGTGCTATCCGTTTCTGTTTCTAAAACCCCTTCCTGTCTGAAACATATCTTCTCCCTGATGTATCTAAAACATGCATATTTTAGAGAATGTCACTCACTAATAAAACTCAGCACTTGCAGAAGTCAAATTGGTTTCACATTTCTCTCCCTCCTCCCGCATCCCAAAACAAACACCACCACGAAGTCTATTTTGAGCTACAAAGGTGTCAGTGTGACTAATTAGAAAGAGAAACACCCACAGAGACAAGAGATAATTGTTTAAATACTGCTTTTCAACAGTAAAGTGTACCTCTATATTGTATTCTTCTCCATCAGTATTGATTCTTACTGTAAAGTCTTCATCCCCAATATGTGCCACAACCTTGGAATTATGCTCTCCTTTAACATAAGCAAGGAAAAAATAAATTAATTTGGCTCTACTGGCATGCATTCCTTCACAGATCCTGGGGTTTTTTTAATAGGCTTTAAACTTCAAGTCAAATTACCTTACTCAGTCCACTATACTGTTCAGTTTACAGAAAACAAAGAAAAACAATAATAAATGAACCAGCACTCTCCCTCAACCTTAACCTCCCAATTGTTATTATCATCAAGACTTAGATTTAATTGATAATTTTGCAGGAGTTTAGATGGTTGTGGGGATTAGTAATGGGACACAGAATACTTCTGCCAGCAAAAGCAGCTTGCATGTTACGATTATCAGACAGCAGTTTCATGGCGTCAGCCTGCATTCCATTGGAAAAGACTTTCACCACATCACAAAGGCAATATAAAAATCAAAACAACCTGGCAGAAGCATTAGTGCTGGACTTAAGCGGAGCAAGATACCCTTTCTTTACAGAAAAGCAGTCTGCAAAGAACCATCTTAAAGACTTTTAATATAACAATCTGGGCAATACCACGTCATCGCTACCTGGGCTTTGTGTTCCAGGACAAGGAACACTTAAGTCCTACATTCCAGTTGTAATTAAAGCCACCTTCATCATTTTAAAAAAAATCACAAGCTGCTGCTTGAGTAAATTATACCTTTGTGTTCTGCCAAACCAAATAGAAGAGTCCTCATCTTAGAACCTTGGTGCAATAACTCAAAAAAAAAAAAAAAAATCAAACCCAAAACCCAAACCCACCAAAAAAAAACAAAAAAACACAAAAAACAGAAAACCCGGGAGGGATGAGAATTGAGTTCATTGTTCATGCTAATTGTATCTGATGAAAAGGAGGGCAATGTATCATTTACTTTGGCCAAGAGACTTGTGCAAAGCTGTGCTTTCTCAGCACTGAAACAGTCTAGTCCATACTAACCAACGACATGTCCAGTGAAAAAGTCTTGCCATTGAACACGATATTCCTTTTCTTTGCCTTCACCATCCACAATTAATGCTTGAAATTTTTCTGAAAAGTGTTCAGCAGTTGCAGTTAAGTATAATTTAAAGTGCCTGTAAAAGAATTTACTTCCATTTATTTTTAAGCAAAGTACGCACACAACAGACACATCCAGCCTCCATTCTACTGAGGGTCCCAAAGAAGTTCAAAAGCATTAACTCTGATAAGCAGGCTACAAAAGCATATAGTGTGTAATTCATAACTGTAAACATTTTTAAAGTGTCAAAGATGTTTAATTAAAAGAAAACCAAAATAAACAAACAAAAACCAAAACCCCCCACACCCTACCCCCAAACAGTCATGGTTGGCTCATGATGGACCTTATTCATATGCAGTGAAAAAACCAAAATAAACAAACAAAAAACAAAAAACAAAACCCCACACACCCTACCCCCAAACAGTCATGGTTTGCTCATGATGGACCTTATTCATATGCAGTGAAGCAAAACCAGTTACCAGTAATTATTAATAGAAAAACAGATCAAATAATTTATCTATTTGAAGTTAAATCATCTTAAAGTTCTTATTTTCCAAAACAATATAGCCAGAAGAATATAAACAGAAATCTGAACTGTGTAGATTTTTATGACATAGTGTCAAAAAAACTGAAGGCTATCCCAAGAAGTGGGTAGAGAACCTTCTCTGGCAGGAGCCACATGGGCTTTTGGTTTATGTGGGCTTTGGGTCAAAGATTTTTGGTACGTCCCTCTGCAATTATCATTGGCAGTATTACAACCTCACCATAAACTGAGGGGGTGTGAGGTAGTGCGAGGCAGAGACAGCCAGACGTTTGATCCCATTAACCTTTTATACTTGCTACCCCCCTCCAAACATTTAGAGATTTAAAAATATTCACAACAATTTGCATGACAGTTGTAGGTGACAGGTGGGGAAGGTACACGAGAACAGAGCAGACAAAGACATCAGATGAACAAAATCAACCTACACTTGTTGATACAAAGCGTTATTCATGGGGAAGGTACACGGGGACACAGCAGACAAAGACATCAGATGAACCTACACTTGTTGATACAAAGCGTTATTCTCGCCCTGCTCTCCCATTTCAGACTCACAATTTCAGCACCTGGATACCTGTCAGGCGCTGTTCTGACACTCAGAATAGCATCCCTACAACCTTTGTGCTTGCTCCCTTCTACCTCTTTCTTCCCCTTTCACCTGTGCTTCTATTTCCCTTGTTTCCCTTCATCTTGTTAAAAAAACAAAACAAAACCAAACTGTTTTATTGAATGCAAAATTTACACTCAGCAGAAAGAGGATTAAACCTCCATGAAACAAACAAGCAAACAAAAAACAACCTCTTGGGCCACAGACCACATGCACTCCCCAAATTGAAGGCAGAGATTTTGGAGAACCAGAGGACAGTCCAGAAGTGTGATTATGTTGCCAAGGTGGGTTGTTTCCCTCTTCTACCTCAATCAGTGAAAGTAATCTACATAAAATTAAAGCTAAGAACAAAGCAAAAGACATCTTAAAATCACTGCCACTTCAGCAAAGAGAGCAACACAATGCAACTCACTTATTTTTCTGCTTCCTCCAAGCCCTCTCTGAAGTCATTACCACGCAGATCACTAACTTACAAGAACTGACCAGCCATGACAGAAAAGATAACTATTTCTGGGTTTGGAACTGCATATTATTCATCATGAATAACTGAAATAATCTGCAACTATTTCACTGCTGGCGATTTAATTACCTTTGCAAGGCTGAAAAACTTAAGAGCCTCTCCACGTGCGTCTCAGGCTGGAGGTCCCTCTTTTTCAGTGAGTGTTGCTGGATGCTAGACTGAGAGAGGATGTCGTAGTCTGAAAGCATGGACTCAACCGTGTCTGGAAGAACAACAAGGGAAGTTTTAGTTTAAAGAGACTCTCTTTTTCACAAATGCACACATGAAACAGCAAAACAGAGCCTCTAATTTCAACAGCAAGATCACTGTTGCTCTAACTGAGGATAACTGTTGCACATTTCTGTAAAGGTACATATTGTGCAGGCAAGTAGAAATTGTTGTGCGAGACAAGACACGATCTGAGAGAGGCAAACAAAGAATTTAGCTTGGTTCTTACAGGAATTTTAGAACAACTAAGCCATCAGTTTTACTGCCACAGCTCTGGAGATGCCAGTGCCCTCCCTGGCTGCCCTCTGGAAACTGGGGAGAACATCCCTACTGCTCTGGAGTGACTCACTCTCCTCCTTGCCTGCTGGTCCCCATGTGAGCCTGAGGAAGAAAATAATTTAACATTGGAAATGTCTACCAAATTCACTGCTGATCAGGACTGCATTTATTACCTTTCTATCTGACAGGAGCCAGAAAACAGATGGCTGCATAGCTCAATCAATGAGAAATAACTAACGAGGAACCTCATTTGAGGCACCTCCACGTACCCCAGTTTCTCAGTACCTTATCACACAAAACCCCTTTGATTTCCTTACTCAGAACATGAAAACTTGTTCAGAGGAGGGAGACCAAGGGCCCAAACACCTGTGGGGAGCAGCACACAAATTATGAATTCAGGTCAATATTCTGCAGGTACTTTCACCATTAACAAGTGCACAAGACAGTTCCAAACAGTGTTTGACTCCTGCTGATAAAGCCTCCTGCTGCTTTCTAAAGCATCCCTTCACCAGAGGCACCCACCCCCACACTCCTCCTCTCCAGAGCACCCACCACCCAGCAAGACACCTGACAACCACCCTCGCTTCCACAAGCACTGATCAATTCATTTGCTATTTACAGCCTTAATTAGAGGCCCTTATTCTCACATTACCATCTTCCTTCTCTGTCAGAGATGTTCACTCTTTTCACTGCATCAAATGAGGAGTCAGCTATGTTTCATAAGAGGCAGAAGTGTTCATCCAGTCATTTTTCATTAAAAAAAAAAACCCAATCATTTTTCCCCTCCATTTCCAGTTGTGCTTCTAAACCAGACATTAAAGCTATCAAATTTTATTAAATGAAGATGGCCTTCCAATTCTTTAGAGCCCCTGATCCCTGTCTTACACCACCCAGCAAAGGAACCTCACGTGTTTTATTGGACTTTTAAGTGAGCGGCATCATTAGGAAGCTGAGTTTTACTGGGTCTTGTGCAACAAGCAAAGACAGACAAATGGTTGGTTTAGCTCCTAAAAGATTTTTTTTTTTGAACCTGACAATCAGGACCAGCATTTTCATTTATCCCTAAAGACGTGCCTCTAAAGCCCAAGAAAGCCTTTAAGAACAGGCAGAGTTTGGGCCAAGGCAAGCACCTCGCTTTTCCGTCTGCAAGGGGGAGGGTGAGAATTAACCACTAGTGTGTGTGCACACACGTGTCCACTGAAGTGAGGGAGCTGCAGACACAAAGATGCCCCTCACAGCCCTTCACCAGACCTACTAGCAATGTGACAGTGGTGACACGGCCGCCTTCTCCTGCAGCAGTTCCCAGGCTTCTCCCACCCGGCTGCCCCTCCCCTGCCGTTGAGCAACACAGGAAGGGCAGTGCAGTTGTCATTTCCTCATTTCTGTTTACAACCCACAGGTTGAGAGCACCTGCAATCGATTACCATGCGTTTCGGTTATATGCAAAGGTAAGTTTCCACCACCACCTTCGTCTTGTGGTTTTCTTCCCCTTCCGTGCCCTGTTGCTGCATGTCAGGCAGCTCCGTCATCGTTAGCGTGCCCCATGCTGCAGAGCAGGTTCACTAGAGCCACGCAGTGAGCAAATACCTGAAAAACCCCCAAAACAGCCCTTTTCTTTAAAAAGCCCATCAGAATTCATTGCTTATGGTCTGGCACCTGCCCTCATCCAGAGCCACCTGGGAGGAGGGTAAGGTCAGGCAGGGAAAATCAGTTCTGAAAAACACAGTTATTAAACTATCTAGTTCTAAACTTTTTAAATTGAGATTCTTTCAACACATTCAGCTAGAGCAGACCCCTCAATTAAAGTGAGTGTTGATATATGGGCTACCAAATGTTGGTTCATGATATAGAGCAAGCGTGTGGTATGTGGGCCATGAATCAAGAGAGGTGTGGTACCACTCCTGCGCTGCTTGAGGACCTACTGACACAGGGACTTGCCAAGCACAAGGTCTGCCCGAGAGGCACAATCCCAGCTGCAAAACATTGCTCCTTCTGCCCCTTCCCACCTCTGCTTGCAAAACACTGCCCAGAACCAGGGGAAGGTCATGCCAAAGAGCAAGATGCAGCTGCCATTATGGCCAGACAAGAGGTCTCAGTTTCATGGCAAGAGGCCTGATAAGTCTGGTAAAGAAATTAGGTTCTTTTATTTGGTAGGCAAGGAGAACTTCAGAAGTCCTGCTCTACCTCACCACGCACAAACACCCTTCCAGAAATGCCTCACAGAGACATGGGAAGGGTAGCAAGAATAAGCCCTACAGAGTTGATGAAGATGAGTAAGACGATTCTGTTAAAGTAACAAATGAAACACAGGACACTCCTAGTTCCTGTAACCCTGAAACAAGAATGCACTTGTTCGTATTTCCTCTTACTCTTCCTAAATTTGTTTGCTTTTAATTTTAGTTGCGACATAAGTAAAGACTTAAGACATGCTGCTGCCAGACATAAATCTGTGAACTAATTCAAGTATCAGACAGATGTGGAAAAAATATACTGGTAACACACTCAAAACAACGTTTTTCTGCAAAATTTTCACACCATGAAAATGAATCCACGGTCACAGCTTACTGAAAATAAAAGATGAAGTGTCATTATTTTCAAAAAAATACTGAACTGTACAGAGTCCAACCGTACAGCAGTCAGTGGATGGGAGCCATAGCAAGCATATACTTGACTACTTTTTATTTAAGTTTAATAATCTTTCTGGCATTCCTTCCTCATTATCTTCACTATGGTCCAACAGCCATTTCCCATGGGCTTCAACAGCACTGAGCTGACTCAGGTCTTCCCAAACCACTTTCCTGTGGTTCCTTCCATTCTGACCCCTCCTAGATTTCTGCATTCCTGTCTTTTTGGAGAAGACAACTTTAATTTCATCCTGATATACCAAATATTTATTTATTTACGATTGCCAGCCTTCACCTCATTGTACCTTCTCCCCTGGAGGAGGGGGGACATGATCTTGCCAGAACATAACACATCTCAGGTTTGTCAGAGAAACAGGGAAGGAACATTGGTGACAAAGACGATAACCCCGAAGTCCTCAAGAAGAAATCCACAGCAGTGATTTTTCTTCTTCCCCCAGCTTTGAACTCACCATTTCCTCCTTTTCTTCCATCTTATTTCAAGGCTAAAAGCCTACTGCCACTAGACTTTGCAACTTATAAGACACAGGAAGGTATCTTTAAAGTAAATACAGACCAGTACACATTGCACCAATCTACTCCAGCAGCAAAGAGCTCAAGAATGTGCTGGGCAACAGCTCAGCTCACCAAGTTGGAGCCCACTGAATATTTTTTAAAAGAGGAGGTTTCCCTTCGAGTGCTCAGCTACCAATTCAAATACCAATGGCATCCTTCTCCAACCAGCTCAGCTTTCATAAGCAGAAGAGTAAATTCCCATGATCTCATGCCCAGTCTATTGCCCGGAAAGCAACACGTAAATGTGGCAAGTCAGCCATTTCATAAGTACTCTTTTGAACTGTAGTATTTATAGAAAGGTTAGGCTTATCTGGAAGCATGAAGTTCTAACCCAGGAGATATAATTAATATTTTGAAAAACTCTATTCATACCTATCTAATAATAGAAAATGTCTCCACTTAAGACACAAGATCCAACAATATTTAAACATATTACTTTCAGGATTTAAAAATGACCACAAGAGCATCAGAGGGGTCTGCAGCAATGATTGCAGTGATTTTTCCAACCATCCCAAAGGCAATAAAAGCAGAAATAAACCTCCTGTCAAAAAGTACTGGGATGGGATGACAAGCCTACAGAGAGCAGGTCCAGAACAGGCAGAACAAACAGGCTTGGGGAGAAGTTTGCTGTGTGACTGTTAAATCATTGGCTCCTTCAAGCCTGAAAAAAGGGCTCCAGCTGTATTTTGTGTCGCGCTTGTTGACTACAATCCAGGTACTAATTTTGAGCTGATTTCCAATAGATATCAAATTCTTAACAAAAGCTTGTGAGCAGCTAACTAGTAACATTTTTTTCTGATTTGGCCAGGCAGTGACTGAACAGTTGAAAGGCTCCATATTCTTTATTGCTTTTTTTTTTTTTAATTTCTTCAGATGATGTTCTTTATATATAAAAACAAAGTAATCAAATACAGTCACTTCAAATATAATTCATAGCCTCAGTCAGAATTTGGACCAGGAAACACATTCTGGAGTCTTTCCAACCTTAACCATAAGAGCTAAAAGCAAGTTTCCATCACCCTACATAAAACAGCTGCCCCTGTGTTTGTGGTAACAGCTGGTTACTGGCTGCAATATAGAGGGATCATTTGACTGGAGCACCATCGCAGGGAGTGCTAATGGAGAAGGCCAGTGTATTCATACCTCAGCTGGGCATATTCATATCTCAACTGGGCACACAAACGGTCTTCACCAGGCAGGAGGTGATGCAGTTATGCCTAAATGTTTATGGGTACCTCCTCGTAACAGTTTACACTGCTTTGAGATGACTGTTGATGAAGAGGATGTGTTGAGAAGATCCATCTGTGGGAAAGCTGTTCTGTAACAGCTCATTACACGTGCGTTACATCTTTCTGCGGTACATCTGGTACAGAGCCATTGCCAAAGACAGAAAACAAAGTAAACTGAAACGCTTATCCCCCGTGAAACAGCCCATGCTTTTAACAGTTTAGATAAATCACGTTTACTTGTTTCCACCAAAGAGTGGCTGCTGTTTTGCTCATCAAGTATACGTGAACAG